ATTCCATATTTCATGATTCATCTTCACCATCTCAAAACTGGATATCAAGTGGTATCAGGACAAGGAGCTGGGGCAGCTTCAGAGTAGATATTAACAATATCTTTATTCTAAGGAAAAATATTCTTTCTTTCAGGGTCCTGGCACAGCTGCCATCCCTGGGAGTGCCCAAAGAACAACGTGGGACAGTGGGAGGTGTCCCTGCCCATGGCAGGGCTGGGATGGGCTGAAATCCAACCCCAGAAATCCCAAATGAGGAATCCCAGCCCTGAACACCCAAGAGACACGATAAAGTTGCCAAGTAGCAGCAGCAGCAGATTTTTTGCCAGCATGGAGAAATCCATCACATTCCCAATGATAATTACTACAAATGAACCAATGCTTGTAATTCCACCCACAACAGCAAATCCACAGCCTCCCATAAAACTCCACAGTTTTATAGGCTCTGAGAGGAAAGAAGAATGAAAATCTTCCTTCCTTATTATGCAATCAACTGAAATCTTGCATTTGTCCACAAATTGATTTTCAAGACGGTTTGTCCAATTTTAGACAGAAAGAAAACGAGAATGAATGCAGGCTTAAGCCAATTATGCTAAGTGTTACTTAAGTTCCAAAACTATCACCTAAACTGCAATTTAAAACCAAATTAGAAAGAAATAATTCACATTCCTCCCCTCCAACAACATTTGCATGATAATGAATTTCTTCTTGGGTAATAAGCAGTTAGTTAGTGTTCATATGCTGGAGCCTGGCAAGGAAACCTTTCTTGTGGGCAGCTTTGGAGCCTGTTCTTTTCTTTAAGATGTTCTAATTTAAATGCAGATGTAGACTTCACACTAGTGGGTTTTGTTTAAAAAAAAAAAAAAAAAAAAAAAAAAAAAGGGCTGTGCTGCTGTATTAGAAGGAAGTGCCAGAAAGAGGACTCACACACACCATTGTGAGCCCCACATTTTGCACCATCTCCTTTTCCCTGGGCAGGAATGTGTGCAAGAGGTCTCAAAGATGAGATTAGAGAATCAACCCCCCCTTCTCCCAGAGGGTTTTCTGGTTCAGGGTTTAACACAAATGTTTTCCAACTTTTTCCTCTTTAAATTCCAACCTTTTTCTTTTTCTCTTTTTTTTTTTGTTTTTTTTTTTTCTCCAAGTCATTCTTCATGCACTTCCTTCCCCTTCAGAGATATGCACGGTCATTTCCAGAAGACATTAAACACTGGGAGCTTTTTCCTGTGTAAATTAGTGACTCCTAGCATTGGAGAAGAATATGAAATCCTGCTGAGCCAGCATCCCCAAGCTCTTGTCAGAAGAACAATTAAACATGGACCAGCTTCCCAAAGCTTTTTTTCACCTCCATGCTCTATGGAAAAAGTTTATTGTATTCCTTGCTTAACCCCATTTTCTTTACAGATATATTTTTACTTTAACTAGCTTTATTAACAATTTGTTTCCCACAGCTGAAGCAGAAAAATATCTTGTGCCACTCCTTAAACATCCAGTCCACATCCTGAAAAATTATTTCTCCTCACTCACCCTGCAGCTTCCATTGCTGTGCTCTAATGTGGAAACATTTGCAGTGCTCTGATTTTATTTAGAAAATAACCTCTCTGAATTTTCCCTCCTTATAAACTGGTTTAACATAATTAGTAAATTTGATTCTTTGGTGAAAAATGGACTCTTCAGCCTAATTAATCCCTTCCCAAGGAACAGACAATTCCTCTACCTGTCCACTGACCAACAAGCTATTTTTCACTCCTGCCATGTCAAGTATAATCTATTTACACAACTGCAAAACCACTGCTGCAAGAAGTAATTTATGTAGTGTGGAAAGCTGACAAATTGCAGCTCTTCTGTGCAAGCAAGAGGGCTGAGAAGTAAAAGCTTCCTGCAATGGAAACAGAAAAAAAAAATAGTCCAGCAAAACCACCAAGCCTCTAAATGAAACTGAAATCGAGACCTGAGGCAGGTTCAGCATGTTCAGAGTAAGAACAGCACTGCCAAGCAATGCAGCCATCACATTGCAGGGAAAATATGTTTATTTCATCTTTTTGTTGCTGTTAAAAAGGAAACTGAAAAAGTTCACAATGGAGAAGTCACTTATTTACCCCTAAAGGAAGCAGCAGCTCTGGAAATGTGCTCAGCCTCAATAATTCCTAATAACTGCACACAGCCAACAAATCATTGGATCTTTTGCCTTTACCTTCTTACAATCATACAAGAAAGTATCCAAAATTATTAAGTAGAAACACTACTTGTTTCCAAGCCTGCAGATGTTACTTTTAGCTGTCAAAACTCAGCGGAGCAACACAGTATCTCTAATAAAAACCCCCAAGTCACCAAGTTGCATTTGATCTCCTCGCTAAAATTCAGTTTTAAACAGTAGCCAGAAGTTACTGCTCCTACCTATCAGTCAGGAAATGCACCCAGAGCTTTAAAAGCACCCTCAGCAGCATGAATTTTTAAACAGACATGGAAGTGAGCTACAGCAGAATTTAAATAGCATCTTGAAAGCTCTCCTAACAAAACAAGCGAGCTCTCCTCACAAAACTCACAGCGTGAGTTTAAGGCAGGAGAGCTACAACCATGGTTAATTTATATATTTATAGTCTGAAGCACTGTACACCAAAAGCACAGAGCTACAGAGACCTCCCAGATGTCTGAGGGGAAGCACAGAGAGAGCAAGTGGGAAAGAACAGGAATAGAGGGTGATGCTCAGGTGATCAGGGCAGTTCTGATCCCACCTCAGGCATTTTTCATGGGCTGGAGGAGCAAACTGCAAACTCCAAACCTTCACACTGCTGATGGAAATGGCAAAATTGTGCCTTTTGCTCTACACCACGAGCCATCTGCGGGAGAAAATAAGGGCATACACAACAGGCTGCAAAATGAATGCAAAGTCTGGAAGAGAGGAGGAAAAAAGCTTCAAACACAGGGACAAAAAAGTTAGAAAATTCAAAATAACAAATCTGTTAAAACTTTAAAGTCCTGCTCTCAAAACACTGCAGAATAATGGCCACAAGCATGCACGAGATCAAGAGCAAATTAGATTTTTTATATATACATATATATATATACACACACATATACAGACTGCCATGAGTACATTCCCAGTGAACACCAGACTCAGTTTCTATTTATTTGCTTTACAGACTACTGGCCATCTTCCATAAAGCTTCTCCCACACTTGGAATATTTGAATTTATTAATGTATTAATAAATTAGTATTTATTTTGAATTTATCAATTCTTATTTAAAAAGATTCATATTTTTCTTCAGCTCCTAGCAAGGTGAGAAAATTTCAGTTTCTTCATTTTCGATTAGTATATATATATATATACTAATTATATATATTATATATATATTATATATATACTAATTATATATATATATTTTATATATATATAATATATATAATATATATATAATATATATAATATATATAATATATATAATATATATAATATATATAATATATATAATATATATATAATATATATTATATATATATAATATATATAATATATATAATATATATATAATATATATAATATATATATATATAATATATATTATATATTATATGTATATAGAGATATAAAATATAATATATATTTTATATATAAAATATATATTATATATAAAAATCTATATTTTATATAAATAGGTATAGATACAAATTTCTGCACTTCTAGTATACACATTTTATATCTACAGGTGCATTTATAGCAGAAATTCATTTAATTTAATTAACGAGTAGCACTGAAGTATTGGGTTCCAAGAGCTCCCACAACCACGGAATCTGGCACTGGCAGTGCAGCATTTAACAGAATCCCCAAAAGCAAAATGCTCATTCTTTGTGTAGGTATCTCTTGAACTGGAACACAAATCACAGGCACTGGCTGCTCCTCTCTTGTCCTTTTTTGTGACAAATTAAAGAATTGAGAATGTTCCCAAGGCCAGCAGCAGAGGAAGATGCCATGAGAGCGGCCAGGATGTGATGCTGCTTTAATGCTCGTGTTTAACACAAGTCTCCCCACAGTTCCTTCCCTGCTAAAGCTGTTTATTCATAAATGGGACAATCAGCAATTCCCCCAGGACTCCTGTGCCTGCTGGGAGAGCAGCAGCCTCTGCTGCAGCCCTGCCATTGCCATCCATCAATCTGCATTTCCCCTGCTCCCTCCAGTCAATTAGCTGGATTACAAACCAGCTAGGATGATTAACCCCCTGGAATTACTTCTCTCTGCTCCTCTCTGAAAAACCAAGGCACTGGAGGTGGGATTTTGGATTCATGACTGACACAGCCACCATTTACCCATCAGATTTATGACAGATCACAATACACACACAGTTAACAGCACTCCAGGTAGAAATTTCCATTTTTTAAACCATTCTTCAATCCAAGCAGCACCAGCAATGCCTTCTGGAGCCACTGTCAGCCTTTGGTTGGAGCTCAATATCATGGAATATGCTACACAGAGTTCAATATTAAACCAGAAACATGTGCCAACACTTTTCCCCCTCCAGTACTTCCAAGCTGTTGCCAGGCCGTTAACCACATTCTCCCCAGGGCAATTATGTTCAGCCACTGGGTGGTTTTCACATTTTTTCCACCTTTTTTTTTTTTAATTTAATTCAACATCTACTCCAAAAACCTGAAATGAGTTCAGTGTTACAAATGTATGCCTTGCATATCTCTGCACAAATGTGTAAGATTCACCTTTCCCAGAGCTTTACTCTACTCTTCATTCCTTTTGTCTTTTCCTAAAGCTGGATGAGGAAACACCTTCTCAGGTACACTAAGTTAATATTATTTTGCTCAAGACAGCCTGATATTCAGTTTCTACCTCCACCTATCCCTTTTTTAATGCTGTTCAACCTGAAGGTGCCCCTTGACCTCAGCTATGCCTTTGTACAAAACGAAAGGAGCTGACAACAGATCTACCTTAACGCAAAGCTTCCAACGCATTTAATTCCTCCAACAAACACCTGAACCCACTTCTCTCCATTACCTAGGCTGGGAGTTCTCCTCGTACATCCTCTCCTTCCCTTCCTTGAAGAGGCTGATGGTCTGCTTGGTTTTCTTCATCAGGTTCTCCATGAAGACCCTGAAGTACTCGTTGTCGCCCAGGGTCTCCATCTTGCCCTCGTAGCGGGACAGGATGGTGCGCAGGTGCTGGTAGGTGTCGGGCAGCAGGTCCAGGATGTAGGGAGGGCTGTTCTTCAGGGCCAGCTTGGGGTTTTGGCACAGACGTACCACCTGTGGCATTGCAGAGAGCAGCTCTGTGAAAACTCCAGGAGAGGAGCACGAGCAGGGGTTAAACACAAGTCACGCGTTTGGTGTAATTTGTTGGGCAAGTCCAGATGGGAGCACAGAATCCCAGAATCACTGAGGCTGGAAAAAACCTCAGAGATCGAGTCCAACCTAGTCCCCACCTCGCCAATCAGAGCAGAGCATTCCTTGGATACCTCCACCACCTCCCCTTCCAAAGCCTGTCCATCCTTTCCATGGAGAAACCCCTCCTGATGTCCCACCAGAACCTTCCCTGGTGCAGCTTGAAGTCCTTTCCTTGTCCTGGGAGCAGAGCCCAACCCCAGCTCACCACAACTTCCAGGGAGTTTTAGAGTGCTCAGGTCTCCCCTGAGCCTCCTTTTCTCCAGATACTGAGCCCAGCCACCATAAAAGAATGCAATTTCTGGGCTGAAGTGCATGTGGACTGATGAAACTCATGATAATAAATTGATGTGACAGGGGAGGGGAAAGGAAGCCACTTCACCATCCGCCATAGCCAAATGTTTCCATTATCTAAGCTGAGAATTAAAGGGAGAGTCGATGGCAAAGCAGCCACTTGAAAAAAGTATAAACTTTCAGTTCTATAAAGGGCTGGAGTTAGAGCTGTGAGGTCAGTTTTGGATCAAGTGCACAAGGTAAGAAGCAGCAATCTGACACTTCTATATTCTGTGATTTCCAGCAAACCTGAGCACAAAATGTGGCCACACTTTGCTAAAGTTCTTCCCTATAATGAACTTTATGTGGCTGCTTAACATCCAGCATATAAATGAGGTCTAAACTCATGACACTGAGGGAATTACAGATATCAAACAGTGCAGAATGCAAAACTTCAGTAAAGTGGATAAGAAAAAGCAAAGGGACAGTTTAACATCCTTTTGCAGCATCTCATTCCCACAAAACCTTGTGAAACCTTCAGGAGGAATTGAGCAGTTCCCTACAGTGCAGGCTTAAATACCTACTTCCTTTAAATATAGATGGTAAACAGAGTCATTCCTCCTGAAACACTGCTTTAGCTTTTCACTTTGCCATTTAGGGTATGTGCAAAAAGCAACCTTGGGAAGCGACACCTCCAATTTTATCTGACTTACAGCAGTGCCTGTACCAAGAGCTGACCTGAGAAAGGTTCAATTCCAGCCAAGAGAAAGGCACACAGTGTATCCAAACTCCAACCAGAAAAATCAGACTGCTGGCAAAAAAAAATAAACACCTAAAAAAGCTTCTGCAAGAATACATGGGAAAAACAAACGACTAAAACTTTCCCTCCATTTTGAGGAGGCTGCCAAGGCCTTGAGATAAAGAGATGGTTGGCCAGACAGCTGATTTAGTCAATTGATGCTGATGCCTCAACTGCTGCTTCCTTGGAGCCTGTGAACATTGCACACTGAACCATATCAACAAATTGAGTCAACACATTTGCCCCCTGAAAAAAAATAAAAATAGTTTCACTATGAGCATGAAGAGGTTCTAAATCTGCTCCTCAGGCCCAGCTGAGCTGTGCTCTGGGCAGCAAAAGCTTTTCAGCAGAAATTGTTTATTGTACAGTGGGTTGAAAACATTAACAAACACAGTCAGCTCTGAGGAGGAAGCACATGAAGCAAGCAGAGCCTGCACTTCCCTCATCTTGCTGGAAATAGAGAACAATTTGGCTGCCACACTCTGAAATGACCCAGCTATGGGAGCAGCAGACCTGCTGCATTTCAGACTTTGATATCAATTAAAACAATTCCCCCACAGCAGCAGAGAGTTCTGCAAACTGCTCATTCTCAGAGCCCCTGTAAAATGCTTCCCAAGAAGCAGATTCCTCAAACAGTTAACTGAAAGGTCAAAACTTGCTGGTATTTTATTATCAAATCAGCTTCTTTATTTACCAAGCAGACCAAAATTAGCTAAGATGAGCGGTTAAACAAAACTGCATAACTAAGAACTGCTGCCTCATGAGCAAGCTTGGGGTTTTTACACCACAGCAGCAACAAGAGCATTTTGTGGCATTTTCCTTGTTTCTCTACGTGTGCACTTGCAGCATCATGACAACATCCAAAGGAATGTTCCCAGCCCTGGGAACAGCTGCCCCTCAGCAGCCTTCCACAGGGACCAGCAACGTGGAAGGAAATTGAGCAAAAAAGCAGAAAAATATTTTTTTTTGTTTAGGTGTGATGGCAACGAACAGAAGCAATGCACGGGTTTAAATTATCATCCAAAATGTGCCTGGCTCATGTTGTGTTCTCTGAGGAACAAACCATTTAGGGAGATGTTTTTGGGTTTTCAGACACACCAATAAAGCTCAGCATGAAGAGAGGTGGGCCTGTGAAGAACCTGAAAATTGACTTCACCCATTTCCATTTTCCAAATGCAAGTCAAAAATCAATTTTCCCAACTGAGTTTTGAGGAAAGAATCTGTTATGTACTCATTCTAGGAAAAATAATCTCATCTACATCTTTGAGGCCTGGAATTGAATCTTTCCCCTCAACAATCTGCAGCTTGCCTTGACTAATTCTGGATTTAAGAGTCCCAGGCCTGATGAGCATGCAGGGGCTACTCCCAGGTATGATTTTCCCTCTCAGGGCAGTTCTGAAAACTCATTTTTTCCTTCCTTTACTGCACTGAGATCACTCCTCATTCCAGTGCAACACAACAAAACCTACTCAAACATCTCTTATCTCTTGCTAGACTTGTGTTTGGCCTTTCTTCTCCTCACAATGAAGGTGACCCGCAGTGGCACTTCTCTATATCAGTTCTAGGAACTGAATGGTATCAGGAAACCCTTTAGGGAAGCTTTATCTCAAAGCTCCTCTTCCTCCTCCGTGCCTTCCCACATTTATTGCACTCTGCTCCATCCCAAGCAGCTCATGACTAACCCACCTATTCCTCAAATACCACCCACAGCAGGAACTCCAGGGGGCTGCATTTCATCTCTGTTCTGCACAGAAATGCAGAAATGTCACCTCATTCAGCTGAAGGGGAACATCCAGCAGGGATGGGAAGGGATATTTTAATGTCCATGCTCTGTGTGACCACATGTAGCTGTGGGAGGAATGGCACTGACAAAAAATTAAGGCTTCAAATGAAAGAATCTGAAAGACATAAATATGTCAGGCAGCTTATGGAGAGCATTACAGGGAAAATATTTGGACAAGAATCAACTTGCATAGGAAATTCATCAGTCACATCCCAAAGCAGAGATGCACGAATGCTTTGACAACAGCAGCTAATTATGCAGACTAACAAATGAGGTCGTGAGTGTGGTGTACCCACACAGACACAGCACGCAGCTCTGAGAGGCAAAAACATCATCTATTAAACATGCACACAGGCAGGTTTTTATCTGCACCTGGAATTTCATCTTCCTGGCCCAGAAATCTCACCCATTCTCAACACCTTCCATTCATTTATCACTCCTCACCGTGAGCTTCGCTGGGTTTTTGCTACACCACGAAAGAGATTTTAATTCAGATGTGTTCTTTGAGTGTGCATAAGTACAGCTGAAATCTAACTGAAATCTGAAAGGCTTTTCAGAGCCAGAATTCTCCTTTTGTACAAATCAGACTGAGCAAAGCTTCAAGCCTGAGAGCTTCTGCATGCTGCCTATGAGTAAACCTGGAGTAAAAGAGCTTGATGTAACTTGTGACAAATACAGCAGCAGCCCTGGCTTTTCTGTCAGTGGAGAGAGAACACACCCAACCTGCTATAAACACCTAAAGCTGTGAAATTACCCCCAAAAAACACCCTGCTCCATTTTAAAACGCCACAATAATCAGCTTTTTATTCAGGCTAATCCTTTCCTTCGAGCAGAGCGGGCCATGAGCTCAAACACAAGCTGCCATCTCTATCCACACATTCTGTAGATGAAAGTGTGCATTCTTACAGGTTACACTAATTTAGGGTCCTGTTTCCATGCCCCAGCTGCCTTTGCTACACCAGCACTTGGCCCTCAGAGTGTGTAACAGAGCCAATGGCACCTCTCAAAGGGGGTTTTTGCTCTGCCCCAGTCTCTGTAGGTGATCAAAGCTCATCCCAGGCACAACCATAAACCCTGCCTTTTGTGGGGCCAGCCAACACAGAGTGATTTCTTGGCAGCAACGGGATTTAATACTCCTTTAAAGAAGTCATTTGCTCTGCCTGCTTTTAGCACTTACTGCAGGAGGCTCAGCCACTGCATGGATAAACAATGCAGGGGAAAGGGAAGGGAAATGCACAAGCCTGAGGGGCAGTTAGATGAGGGATGCCCAAAATCCCTGCCTGCTCTGCTCCCAGAGGGGAGGGAGGTGGCCAGGTGACAGTCCCCAAGGCCTGGGGGCAACTTGGGTGATGCTCTCACTCTACACCACTTGTAGGGCCCTAAACTCAGTGCCATAAACTGCACTGCACATTTCAGACTGCAGCATGCCAAGCCCAGCCTTGATTTCAGGGCTGAACAGTAATTATCAATGAAAATTCCACAAAAACGTTCCATTTTTTATTTTGTGCCTATTTCTGTGTGCCTGCTTTCACTCACTTGATCATTCCCTGACAACCCCCCAGCATTTCTGGAAACCCTGGACGGAGCAGCACACCTAGCCAGGCCAGTAAATCAAATATCCCATCACACCAACAGGCCAAAAGGTCTGGTGTCCTGCCCCCGGCAAGAGCCATTTCCTGGCATTTGAAAAGGAGGAGGAGGAGGAGTGGAGAGTATTAATGACCCCAGAGAGCCCCTCCTGAAGGTGTGGGGCTGGAAGAAGGCCTTTCCAGCTCCCACGCCACAAGTTTTTCTTGTTAAACATGACTTGATACTTTATCTTCCTCTAACTACTGATTGCACAAGGGTTTATTCAGGCTTTTACAGTTTTCCCTCAGTTTTAAGGAAAAGGTTTTGTCCTGAGTGCAGCAACACATTCCAAAAGGAATAACCTGGCCTGCCACAAAGCTTCACCATCCATTACCCACACACCAGGCTCTATTTGCTTCCAAGGAGCAAATCCTGGATTTCTCCCTTGTCCTGCTGCTGTCACCACCTGCAGCTCCCCATCCCATTCCCAGCACCACCAGTGCCCACCCCAGCACCCACAGGACTGGAATTATCTAGACATGTATATGATTAATACAGATATTATTCTACAGGCTTGGAAGGGACCCACGAGGATCATCCGGGCCCTGCACAGGACACCCCAACAATCCCACTCTGTGCCCAAATGCTGAGCTCTGGCAGCCTTAGGGCTGTGACCACTGCCCTGGGGAAGGACCCTAGATCCTCTCAGGCACTTCCAAATCCTCCATTCCAAACTGCCCCCTCTTCCTCCACCTTGTTCCTTGCAGAGCTGCTGATCTCCCTTCATGCCTTCCCATGCTGGCATCCGATTCTGGTGCTGCCTCCCCTCCATGGCTCACCTCTCCATCAGGCTCCACATGGAATCACAGCGTGGTTGGGGTTGGAAGGACCTCGAAGCCCATCTTGTCCATGGCAGGGACACCTTCCACCACCCCAGGCTGCTCCCAGCCCTGTCCGGCCTGGCCTTGGGCACTGCCAGGGGAAGCCACAGCTTCTTTGGGCACCCTGTGCCAGGGCTGCCCACCCTGCCAGGGCACAATTCCTAACTCCCAATATCCCACCAGTGCCAAGCCATTCCCCCTTGTGCTGTCACTCCATGCTCACCATATCCTTCCCCCAAAGCTCTGCCCCCCATTCTGTGCCCAGGCACCCCTGAA